CTAGATAATGTCCAACAAAATTTTTTTCATATAAATTGAATGCTTAATTGTTTTAAAATGTCTGCATATTTTTGTGTAAATATATCTTTGCTTGCGAGTCATGAAATAGAAAGACAAATTAAATTGCCCTCCCACATACGAAAATGTTGCCCTTAGTGTAGCCTAGCTGTGCTTGGTCATCTGCTTTTTTTCCAGTTATGGTCATAAATTTGGATAGGGTCTTTACACTCTGAATTGCCACTGGGAATCCCACAGATTTAATTTTCTCCTGAGTTACTGACATGTGAGGTTTTGTTGTTCAATTAACTTGAACACATTGTAATATGAGTGATAAATAAATATCTTTTGGCTTTGAATAAAAATTGTCTCAACAAGAAGGAAAGAACAAAATAAACTGGATAAACCAAGGAAATGAAGGAAATGAAGAATTTCTGTTTTTTCACATTTATTTGACTGCATCACTGAATAACTCAGTGGTTTGAATTATTCATTTGTAGTTAATTGTACAACTGTAAAATCTACAAATATTCCCAAACCAAGATTAGACATCAATCTGTTTCAATAAACAAAAGTTAATTTATAATAGTGACCATGAAGAAAATATTCTACCTTTTTAGTTAAAAAAAAAAAAAAAGTAGGTCAAGTAGTCATAGCTTTTTTGTTTTTATTTCCTAAAAGGAGTGGACTGAAGCTGGAAAAAAAGCTACAATATGTTTTGGAATATGAACTTTCTTGTAACACAAACCTGTCTCTTTTTCCTGTTGGTTGTGCGTGGAGGTTTTGTGTGTCATGTGTTTTCTCTGGTTTGATTTTTTTAGTAAATTTATGTAATCTTAAGAAACAGAAGGTTAATGGTGCTCTGGTTGTTATACAGACATAATCCATAAACCTTCCATTCCTGGATTTACTGTGAGGTGTGGGTGTAAAAGCTCTGTGTCTTGGGTTTGGGAAGAAGAAGAATATATCTGAAAATGCCATGCTTAAAATTGCCTTGTCTGTCTCAATAACATGTGGAACTCTTACTGTATGTAGAGTATTGTGTTTACTCATCTCAGAAGAGGAAACACAGTCTGTACTCTTCATTTAGGAGTAAGTTTTTAAAAGATATTTTTTTTTTTTGAGATGAAATTGACATAGAGAACATGGAATACATCTTGATATTTTAAAGTGATTTCTTTCCTATGCCCTTGATATTCTTTTTCCATACCACTACTCATGTATCACTAAACAGGAAAAGATCAGCTTGCAGATTTCTGCTAAAACAACAGAAGCTTCTTTTGCAGCTTGACTGGCTCTTGCCATATCTATTGCTTCTGCAGCTGCTGCTGAAAAAGCAGCTGCTCCCTTCACATGCTCTGATGCTGAAGCTGCACCTTGAGCCTTGCTTGCGGCTCAGGTGGTCGCACAGCTCCTTGGCACGTCAGAAGCGAGCTTATGGCTGGGGCCCCTTCTGAAATGGTTGCACGCAAGGTCGCCAGAGACCCGTGTGAAACAGGGGCTTCTGAGGACACTGGACTGGTAGGTTTTGGGCCCAGAAGTGTGTTCTGCAGCCTGCAGTCCTTTAGCTATGAGGTCTTGTACGATAGAAATCAAAGCCCAGTGTAGCTATTTAAGGAAAAGACGATTTTGGCTCACTTTTGAGCCGATTTGCATCAACCATTACTTGCAGAGGAATGAAGGAAGGGTAGAGCAAGCAGCTGCCTGCAAACCTCAGTCCTGCAATAGCAGGCCAAGACTGTGAGATGCATCGCTTTTACCCAGTCTAGAATAAAGTCAGGACACATGGGCACCACAAGAAGAGTCACTTGACAGGATGAATGCCCAGGTATCTGTGATCAGACACTAGCAGGCAGGAATGTGAGCATCTCATGAAGTACTAGTCAGTTTTGACTGATGTGTGCTATCCAAACCAGAACTTCAAATGCTACAGGAAATTCATATTAGATTTTGAAAACTAGAATAAATATATCCATTAGCTTTCCTGCAAAAACTGATTGTGACCTGGCCTGAGTATAAACAGTGTGAGAAAGCTTCCTGGTGTGTTCAGCGAATTTGAGACATGTTTTCGATGTCCTTAGGTTTTTCAGGGTTTGAAACCCTGATATTTGAGGAAAAATCTTCCAGAACACATACTTCAAATGCTTAATGTGATGATAAACAAAATATATCTTTAAAAGAAAATTTATAAAATGAAGGTATGGATAAAATTTAAAGGAGAATAAAGTTTCCTTGATAATAGATCATCAAATTAATTTTAGATGAAACCATGGAGCACCTCTTCTGGTTTGGTTTCATCCAGAAGACATCTAGTTCATGTATTTGGACTGAGATTTCAGGTAAAGTGTTGTAAGGGGGAAGAACCTGAAGTCCCCAAAAACATCCCTGACTTGAACTAAGATATTAATGGAGATGCATTATTAGTTGTTATTCATAATTGCTATCAATGTCTAGTTCATTCACTGCCAGCTAATACTAGAAATAGTATACTTCCACATTGGAAGCACTCTTCAGAGACCTGTTAAGGAATCTGCTTAAATGACTAGCTGCTAGGTAGTAGTAATTCCTCCCCACACTCCCCATCCCCATTTCCCTTTAACCCTAACATTAGATTGAATTTAAACTTTGCAATGTAATGTAAAAGAAGACTGCTTTTTACCTTTGAGGTTATAATGACAAATGTAAGAAAAGATAACAATTTCTTTGGCTTAATAATGCATATCCTAACCCATAAAATTAAGTGTATGTGAGCCCATATAAGCAAGGTTATTTAACTTCCATCTTTTCTCGGAACTTAAGGAGCCACTCTTAGAAAATGTCAAGCATTTTCTCTGCTAGCATTTTTTAATATGCCCACAGCTAAACACTTGCTGGAATTAAAAACAGTTACAAACCTTCTAGATACAATTTATTCTTTATACTATAAAAGGCTGGAAGGAAAAAACTATTCCTTGAATTTGATGCTTTAGGGGATGATAAATGTGGTTTTTAAGGATCCATCCATCTCCAAAAAGCCAGAACCGGGTTTGAAATATTGAATTAGGGATTTTCATTTAAGGTATTATACAATATCACCAGTACTGCTGGCCAAGAGCTATTTACTTCTAATGACAAAGTTAAGATGCTGCATTTTGCTGGATACTTTGGGCTAGCCCTAAAAGGAGGATCAGGAGGTATGCAGATCGACTTGTCAGGCAGGGTGATACTTGTTGGCTTGGGGTTTGCATCCCTGCAGCACTAAGCAGAAAGGTAGCAGTAAAGGCTGCTGCTTTTCTGCCTGCATTTGTAAGGACAATGGTCTTAGCTATTACTGCTCCTCGAAACTTGCCAGTCTTAGAAAAGTCTACTGAGCACTTTAATGTGTTTGCCTTATAAAACACCAGTTCAAAAGGTTTTCAGGTGGATTCTGCAGCAACCACGGTTGTCCATGTTGTCACAGCTGCACTTTATTCAGGCAGTCCCTTAACTCTCATCTTGAGAACCAGTGTGAGGTTGCTTGCTGTAGCTTCAGTGTCCAAATAGTCTAAAAATAAGTTATAGATACTAGGACCCCGATTTTGAATGATTGGCTAGCCCAGTGTTCAAAGTCAAATTATTCTTTAATGTTAGGCAATTTACAGGTGAATTTTCCCACTGCTATCACAGCTCAGCCATAGTGCAGGCCCAGCACTTTTTAAACAACTCTTTACCTGAAGAAATCACAGATTATTTGCCAGCTGTATGTGATGATTGAGAAGGTTTTACTTTTTATTTAGGGAGTTCACTACATGTAATTCCATAGATACAGCAAGCATAGTCACAATATAGACTGTGTTGTTAAATGCCTGTGTTTTTACTTTGCAAAAGGTGTGAAAAAAAATTAAAAATCTGTGTTTTGATTACTCAATTAAGAAGGCTACATAGGCTCTGCTTGCAAACAAACTGCAATGAGTAAATTCTCTCTTTTAGCTTTGCTTTTTCCCATGTGCTTACAGTGCTTTCAAATTACCCCACTTTGTACCTATAATAGGCCGAATCTCTGTATATTTGCTTCTAAAGTAATCTACCCTAATTTTAAAATTATGATTCTGTTATGGTGAGCTTTTATAGAAGGAGTCCTTCTTAGCCATAGGCATTGACAAGACCAGTTGCTCTCTCATTCGGCTTGGTTGCAGTCTGTTGCAAGTTGGAGGTTTAATCTCAGAGCTGTGTAGGAGTATTGACTTTCAGACTACACCGTTAGTCTGCTTTTGCTAGTGCAGTTACTTAGGTAGTAATTTAAGACTCACAACACAAGCACAATGAAAAATTTCTATAACTGCATACGGAGGGGAAAAAAAATCACCATGGCCTTAATCCTGAAAATATGCATGCCTGCCTGAGAGTTCGTATTATTTTGTCTTCAGTAGGACTAAGCATTTGCTCAACACTTAATGTGTTGCATAAATGTTGCCAAATAAAGGTGTCTGCCTTATTTTCTAGTAGACCAGAAGGGTCCTCAACAAAAACCTAACAAAAATCCTCTTCCCAAAACAAAGAGAAGGAGGATAGAGAAATGAGCTAGTTTTATTTTTTTCCTATTTCATTTCAATATATAATTTTTTCAACATAAATGTATGTCAGCAGTCCTGCTATTCTTTTTTAAAGTCTTTTTGGGTATTTAGGTTCCGCCTTCTGGCACGCTAAGAAAAATTTTGACATCTTCTTTATTAAATGGTGAACAATTTTATCAGATTAGAAAAGCAGCCTCTTTCCTCCATTTTGGAGAGTTGTTTCATTGGATATCCTTTTCAAAAAAATGCCTAAATATTCTACCTCAGGTCTGGTGTTGCCTGAATTATCCTTCCATACTTTTTTTTTTCCTCTCCTTTCAAATCTTCTTTACTTTGGAATAGGTGGAAGAAGCTGGGAAGGTTTAATAGAGGTTTTAAATAAAATCATTCTGTCCTGATACAGTAGTCACTCATGCTACTCCAGAATCTTTAATGGCTACAGCAGTAGTTAACTTACTTTTGCCTCTTCAGGGATCTTGGAAGAATCTCATGGGAACAGGCCCTGAAGTGAAGACAGATCCAAGAGCATTTGTTGATATTCAAGCACCACCTCTGAGCTCAGGAATGATGCATCCTAATGGACAAGACATTAGGCAAAGACTGAAAGAGACCTGTGTGGATGAATAAAGACCTCCTGTCAGTAAGCAGAAAATACCCAGGAGATGGAGGCAGGCTCAGACCACTTGGAATGAATATAAAGAGGTTGGCAGGGTAAGTAGAAATGAGACAAGGAAGGCTAAGGCCCACCTGGAATTCAATCTGAACAAGAACATAAAGCCAAGGAGGTCAAGGACAAGAAGAGGGGCTTCTTTAAATACTTCAGTAACAAAAGAAACACTAAGGAAAATGTAGATCCATTACTGAATGGAAGTGGGACCCTGTTAACAGAGGACACAGAGGAGGCAGAGGGATCTCTGACCCAGGAGACTAGGGAGAAGGAGGGATTGAAGGAAGGCTTTCCTTGCTCAAGGAGGACTGAGCTGGAGTCAGGCAAACCTGGCATCCACAAGTCCATGGGCCCTGATGGGATGCAGGCACAAGTACTGAGAGAGCTGATGGACACCAGAGATGGGCAATTTACAAGCATCTTTGAAAAGCTGTGGTGAGCAGGAGAAATGCCTCAGGACTGGAAGAAAGCAAATTTCACACTGGGAAATAAAGGGAGAGAAGGACGCAGGAAACTACCAGACAGTCAACCTCAGCTCAGTCCTCAGAAATCACTCAGAAAGTGCCTCACTCTGGAGGCCATTTCTGTCCACATGGAGGACAATAAGATGACCAGGAGAAGTCAGTATGGATTCATTGGAGGTAAGGCAAGTTTGAAAAACCTGTTTGACTTCAATGATGAAACAAGTACCTGAAAGGATGAAGGGAGGGCAGTGAGGGTCCAGCAGAGGATGACAAAGATGAGTAAAGGACTGGAGCACCTCTTTTATGAGCAAAAGGTCTGGAAGCTGGTTCTGTTCTTCCTTGAGAAGAAACAGCTGAGAGGGGAACTCATTGATGTCTGTAAGTATCTGAGGTGAGGGTATCAAGAGGATGGAGCCAGGCTCTGCACAGTGATACCAAGCTATTTTCTGTGTCCAGTGGGACAAAAAGCAGCGGGCAGAAATTGGTGCACAGGAAATTCCACCTGATATGAGAAAGAACTTTATTTCTGTGCAGTGACTGATCCCTGAAGCAGGTTGCCCAGAGAGGTTGTGGAATCTCCCTCACTAGGAATATTCAAGAGCTGTCTGGATACAATCTGTGCTGTGTGCTCTGGGATGACCCTGCTTGAGCAGGGAGGTTGGACCAGATGACCCACTGTGGTCCCTTCCAACCTGACCCGTTCTGTGATTCTGTGAAGTGCTTTGAGACACCTCCTTACTAACTCCCTTTATTCTGATTAGAAACCTCTTTTTCATGAGTGAATTTGACATCCTTCTGAACATGCTGTTATGCTCATCTCTGCCTCCTTTTGCCACAAGTTCTGGAGATTCATTATTGTGAAAAGTGCATACTACCATCAGTTCTACTCTGCTATTCTACCAGTTTTGTCAAGTGCCTCTTGTGCTATTTCAGTTAGTTTCTCTTGTTATATTTGAATCAGTACATGAAGGATTTCAGGCTTGAAAGAAGTAGTACTGCTATGAAATAGCTAGAAAATAGAAAGAAAATGTTTCTGTGACATAACTATATGGAAACAAAATAATTCTAAATTTTTACAAATATCTGGGGAACTTGCCTTCTAGTTTTTCCCTGGCCCATGCAGGTTCTTTGTCTTCTTCCATCAATTTAATATGCATGCATATGTGTGAAAATATGTAGTGAGCACCAAGCATATTTGGTTGTAAAATCCTGTCAAGAATTTTGGTTATTATTCTGATGATAACCTGAAAAGGTTATTAAAAAATCATAGAACTGGATTTTTTGGCTCCTTTTTATAATGACATATTACAATAACATGAGAGGTCATTGAAAAGAGAAAAGAGGCCTGTTATGAGAAACTGAATATTCCCCGTTTTCTTTTTACTGCTTTTCTTCAGACTCTAGATATATCTATCTTGAAGGATAAAACAGTTTCTAGGACTTGGAAGGAGATAAAGTGAAGGTACAACATGATAACTGTAAGAGAAATAGAATATAAAAGGACTTCAGCATAAATATATTTACCTTTCATTACAGTCTCTTCTGAATTTAGTCAGAATCAATTTTAGAGAGAATTTGGAAGTAAATGTATAAAGGTGACTTATAGTGAAATAAAAAAAAGAGTATATTTATTTGTAGAGTAATATAAATGTTTCTCATCAATGCTTTTTGGTTTTGTTGTAAAAATACCTAAGTACTGTAAATCATGTCATAAATCAAACATCATAGGAAATTACAAAATTCAAGAAAAATTTACTCTTCCTTCTATTTTAGCTGAGAGAAATTAGGAATACTAACTGAAACTCCAGGTTGGTTGTTTTCCCCCTATGTATATGTAGCCATAACCTGCTGTTTCTAGAACTCAGAGAATGCAAGATTAAAAGGAAATGACATCATATCAGTTCAAGACATTCTATGAAGCAAATCACTCCACTGTGAGCTCTAGACAGGAGAGGGCAGGTGGAGGTCACTAGGCCTGTGCCTTGGCAAGTCCATGTAGTTGTAGAGCTGTCTTTGCTGAGTGGAAATCTGATCTGCTTAACAATGAAAAATAGCTTTGGGGAAAAATAGCTTATTTTTATAAAATGTTTGGAAAAAAGCACCAGAGCTGTAGAAAAGAGCTCTACATTTGGGAATGTTGGTGAATGGGAGCATCTCAAAAGTGGGTTTAAATACATGTCTAGACATAGTCTCCATGACAAACTCCACAACCCCTCTCCTCCCCTAGTTTTACTTTTCAGACCTTCCTCAGTAGACCTTGGTCAGCCTTACGCCTAATAATGATATAACTGTACCTTCACAGAAGACAATATATTGAATAACTTTTTTTAACTTTCTGTTTAAATTCAAGGTAAAACTTCAATCTTCTGGGAGCGTCTCAAAGGTTTGTTTAACACACCTGTCAATCTCACAGTCCTTTCTCTGTCAGCTAGCTAGCTGTTTTCTTTTTAAAAGGACTGGTCGTGTTTATATGGCAGTGAATTTGAAGAAGAACAAACTGAGGATGACTTCAGTACACCAAAAATTATGAGTTTTATTAAAGCATGTGTGGAAAAGAAAGTGAGGAAAACATGTATGTCATTTAACTGATATAAAAATACATTATTCTGGATAAAGAACTGTATTAGTAACTCATACTAGGATGCTTTTTTTAGAGAGAGAAAGAGAGAGAGTGTGTTTTGCTTAGTTAATGCCTTCCTTCAAGACAAATACCAAAAATAACTCTCCCATATTTCTAGTATTTCTTTCATATAAAATTATTGTGGTTAAAGTCTGCACTGTTAAGTTACTGCCCACAGTAAAAAAATCTATTTCTGAATGAGACAAGATGTGTTCCTTCCTTAGATGTTTCAGGTGCAGGGAAATGTGCTCCTTTTTGGTGTAAGCTCCATTGGAATACATTTGTTTTCCTTCTGAATATAACTTAAAAGTGAACCTACATGTTTTTGTGGCATTTGATGTTTTCATTTGCACTGTGACTGTCCCCTAGTCATCACAAATTAGTTTTGTTTTTTGGCTTTCTTTTTCTTCAATGTATTTCTCAAACATTAATTTTATTTATTTCCATGTTGTAGATGATTGATCAATCATTTAATAGCTGCAGATAGTTTAAAATTGTGAAGGAGATTGCTTTCCTTGGTTTGGAAGAGGGTATGAGAAAAGGAAGAAATTTTTAGAAAGATCATCAGTTAATTATTTTGAAATACAGCATTGTCAATTGGTGTATTTAAATTCTGTGGTGTCCAAAGCCTGGATTTTCCCAGGTTTTTCACTGGGTTTCATCATGGAGACTATTTCCAGAAGCATTAATATCTTATCAGAAAAGCCATATATAAAGGATCTTTTATGAGAACCTCATCTAGAAAAGAAATACAGAGTATACTTAAAACCATGTTGAAATGGTTAAGTCATATACAGACACTAGTCACTGTTGTTATGTGTATATTCATTTTTTGGGAGGTATGAAAATATCTGTCAACTTTCATTGATTAAGACATAAGCCACAATAAAATTGCATTTGTACTTCTTTAAAGAGAGACTATTTATATTACTCTAGAAAAGATGTGCTTGGATGGCTGAGGCTTGCCTTTTGACTTACAGTCCCTAGTGAAAGACGTGGTACTTGATAGACCATATTGATTCTGGGGGAAACCCTGCAGGATATTAAGAAAATAATGTAGGCTTTAATGAGCTAACGTGCTCTCTGAACTAAAAAATTGAAAGAGAATTAAGAGATGGCAATCATGGACAGATGTTTGAGAAGATCAGAGTAATAAGCTTATCTCAACAATTATTCTCAAAATAATCAAAGTGGAGATAGTTCCTTGTTCTATAACATGCTGACCCAGATCTTCAACTGCCATCAATTGTTTTAGCTTGGATAGTTTCAAGGAGCTGTCCTCTCAGCTTAGCTGAGATTTACAGCAGCTGGCTGATCTCCAAGCACTTATTTGCATCCCATTTTATTATAGTGTATTATTATTGGCAATGTAATCACAATAGCTGACTTTCATGTGTAGAAATCTTACGGTCCAGTAGCATAGAGGACAACTGAAAATGTCCCATGTGGGTCCAATTAAGCAGCAACTTGGAAATGCATAGCTGTAACTTCTGTACTGTCTTAAGGCTGAAATTTCAGGAGTGAAAGAATTGAGGTGCTTCAGAATGGCAGATGCTCTGTGCAGCAGTATCGTGTCATAGACATACTGTCCTCTTCTGTCAGCCTATGCATCAAATAACCAGGCTAATGTAAAGTACTATATATCTGTCTTACCTGGGTTACAAAACAGCATTTATAATTCCTGCGAGCTTTTTACACTCAAAATCGTTTTGCAGCAGAAAGCCACCCACCTTACATGCGAAGCCGATAATCCATTTTTAGTCTAATGAAAGTCTTAACAGTTTAATTGAAGAAGGTTAGTAGCCCAGTTGCAATGATACTATCATGTAACTAATGCTTACAAATCAAAACAAGTGTAGTTAAAATAGCACAAAACAAACCTCCCGAAGTCTACAGTTCAGGTGATGATGTGCTTGGCCTTTCACTAACCTTCTGGGCTCTAAGGTTAATTGCAGCTTCA